CCACCATCAAGACAAGGTGGCACCAGGTACAGTGAGACACTAGGTACAGTGTGAGACAGTGTGCACCTCCCTGCTGCACACAGAAATCATGTCCCTAGCAAAGGGTTTCTGACTTCCATTTGAACAGGAAACTCTCCCTTTACGCATAACTAAGGGATCGTGCCTGAGGAATGTTTGTCTCAGGCGAGCAAGAGAGCACTGATGCTAATGAGGCTATGAGGGCTGCAAGCCCTTTGAGGTCAGTCAAATGGCATGGATCATATGTGCTGGTGCTGAGATGATCTAGATCCATGAGCCAAATCAACTGTAACAAGAGCCTATAATAAGAGCCTATAACAAAAGCCTCCCCCAACTATCCAAAACCAAAGCAACAAGACACAACTGTATACCAGCCACAATATCTCAATAGGCATCTGGGTAGATCCGCCATGGATTCCTGGGTCTCCATTTCACAGGCAGAAAATGGAGGCTGAGCATGAGGTTAAGGCTTAGACCAAACAACTGGCCAGTGGAAGGGGTCTCCTGCTCTCAGGATCCTTCCTCTTGCTTTGGCTACTAGATTCTGTCCCTTTTCACAGTGCTGCCCCACTGACTCCCCCGACAGCTCACACAGTACCTATGATTTCATGGATGACACACCAAGGGTTGGGGAGCTCAACTCATTCATCCCCAAGTCACTGAGTCCCTGGATGCATCCCATAATGATGCCCCTATCAATTCTCTGTCATACTGACTCTTGTGATTTGACCGTGGCCAGCTTATAGTGGAAGATGCCCTGTTGCCAAAGAGATTAGTGAAAATTGGGGTACCATCTCTGATAACCCTGCCTCTGAGACATCTCCCCTGATACCCTCAGCCACACCATCATGGCAGCAGTGAAAATGTACCCCCATCACTCCTAAAGAAATGTCACATGTGGCACAGGGCTTGCTAGATGACCCAATGCCTGATCCAGCCAACCTCGGGGTGGTCATACCACTTGTATCACGTACCTGCCTATGGACATGTAGCGTTAACACACACAGTGTCACATCTGGCAAAGGAGGATGTATGTTGTGGGGCCACCCATAGTAACTGCCCTAATTCTTGTCTTTTCTCATTGAATACCAATATGGCAGGATGTGTGCCCACAGAGCCCTGCTAATGCTCACACTGGGGACTCAGTGACATTTTCTGTGGACGGGTTATTTGTGTTGAACAGCCCCGAGCTGGCTGTGGTGCCTGGCATGGCAGGTTAAGTAGCCTTCCTCCTTCCCAGGCTCAGAAGCTTGAGAGCCGCCGATGCACTGAAGATTTGCCAAGGCTGGGTCAGGGCTGAGCACAAAGCAAGGGCTTTGGCGAGACCAGTGACAGTTCAGCGAGAGCCTGCTTGCTTGATCCTGAAGTTATTCCTGATGGGCCACTTTAAAGAGGAACTTTCCCCCTAAAAGGATTAACCAGTGGACTAAGGCTTAGTGCTGGATTGGAACTCAGGGCGGAGGTGGGAGGAACCCCCAACGGCTCCCGAATTTACAGGGATGATCGGAAGAGAAGAAACCCTGTACCACCCATGCCTGACTCTGGGGACTCTACTGAGAAGACAGCATAAAATATCATCCACAAGTTCTAGACAAAATGCCGCGACATGAGGCTCAGCCCCTACTTTGTCAGAGAAGGGATATGTGACTTTTGACAAGTCACAAGCCTTCCCTTGTCCTTAGTGTCCCTCCTTCACAATGAGGTCAGAAACCGAGGGCTTTAGAATCTTCTAGAAAAGCTCTGTCTAAATGCAATTACTTCATGTCTCCTGCAGGAGACGAGGACTCTGCAGAGAGGTCCTGACATCTCTGCTTCCAGCTTGTGGTTCTGATGATGCTGGTCGGCTGGGCAGGCATTTGACACTCACCCGATTGGAAGATGTCTTAAGCCCATCAGACATCAGGAGACAAAAAGCCAAGACTATACAGTCTGCAGCCTTTGCCTTATTAACCACCCAGTCCCACACTGTTTTGGGGTGGGAAAAGCGTGCCCTTTTGTGGAAACAGCCTGTGTAAAAATTGCTCTTGAGTTGCCAAATTCAACCTCTGAGTATGCCAGCTTCTCTGGTGAGCACACTTCTTGCCTGTGGTTCTTAACTGCATTCTGAAGCACACCCACCCCTGCCGAGACCTACCGGGAACCTGACAGCCAAGAGCTGTCGTAAGACACCGGGGACACAGACATACGGACACACACATACACACAAATATGGAACAAATGTCTTCGTGCTTACAAACGTAGGCAAGCTGACCCCCACCCCCACCCCAAGTCATCTCTGTGAGCTCTGGAAGTATTTGGAACACTTTTTCCCCAGTACCTCGGACAGCTCCTTGCTGCTTGAAGTAGAGACCCTTGGGGACTTTCTACATTAGAGCACTCCCCAGGCTCTCGGCTTTTTCCCAGGGCTTCTCCTCAGAGATAAAGCCCTTAGGGGCTGGCATTGGCCATTTGGGAAAAATGAACAAGCGGCAGGAAGAGATTCTACATCCCATGTTTACTCCAGAGCAGACCTCCCAACCTGGGTTAATTCTCTTTTATTTAAAAACTAAACAAAATAAAACAAACAAAACAAACAAACAAACAAAAAAAAACCAAGAACCTTAACACACTGAGAGTGTTTCCAGAACGCCTGTTACAGACATCACAATATCACCAAGACGGCTTCTTGTAGGAGTGATTCTCCCATTTAACAGGTAACAGGACTGAAGCTCAGAGATGTTAAGTGACCAAATGGAAGATTACACAGCCATGGAGCAATCTTAGCTTCAGGCAAAAATCTTCAACAGGTCTCCACTATGCTGCTCGGGCTTTCCCTGCATGTTCTGGGTACTTGGGGGAGGGATTCCCAGACTTTTTGAAGTCTTTTGGGGGGGTAGTATGGTTGTGTAGATGCATCTGGAAGTGGGGCCATGTACACAAAAGAGGGGCACAGATCAATTGGCTATGCATGCAATCCCTCCTCCCCCCATTTAGGAAGCCACAAACCAGGATGGAGGTCTCCTTGCTTTGACTATGGGCAGCTAGCTTGGTTGGCCCTACCTCAGTTTCCATATCTGGAAAGTGAGGTTCAGGTAGCTGTCCTAGGTATTGGAAAAGTCAAGATATTCCAGACACATCCTATATGCGGTAGTAGCTTGCAGCATAAGCACCCGGGATGATGTGTCCCTTAGTTTCTTCTGGAATCTGGACTGGGGTGGTGGCATTGGCGATCGTGGGAAAAAAACTTCCTTCCTTTTGGAAACCTATGAAGAATCCTCAAACCTCTCTGCTGCGGCTTGCAAGGATAAAGAGTGGGCATGACCCCTATTCCATTCTGCCATACACCCCAAGCTTAAAACACAAACTCCAAAACAAACCCCACTAAAAGCAAGAGCAAAAATCCAGCCAAGAAAATCAATTCTCCAGGAAGCTGTTAATGCCCCCCCGACTTGTTATTTGCACACCCTAGTTTGAGAGGGGCTAGTTTGAGAGGGGGGGTTACTTTCCCTCACACCTGCCCTAGAGAGTGGTCTGAAGGGCCAACTCCTTTTTGTCTTCCCCACTATTGGGACAAATACTCCTTGGGCGCCCCAGGCTTGCCTGCATATCACACCTACCAGCTCACCTTTGGGGTTCTCCCTCTTCGGGGTGCCTCTAGAGCTCCCTTCCCAATCTGTGAATATGTACATGTGTGAAGCAAGGTTTGGGGTTCCCCATGAGTCGGACAATGTTTTTAAAGAGTCTCATCTGCCGCAAAAATGGGATACATCTCCCCAGGGGCTGCTTGGGAGACGGAGGTGGGCACAGCCTACATCACCCTCCTGGCCCTCGGTTTGGTCTATGGGAAATCACGAGATGCCGAGGCCCCAGGCTCTGTCCCAGCTGCTTCAGACTGAACCAGCAATATCTCCCTCGCTGAGCACCTACCCTCAGTTTCACTGCGACATTTACGATGTTTGAAAGATTTGCCAACAGATCTCCAGGAAAGGGCTACGTCTCTCTTTTACACACGAGAAAAATAGTCTTGGAGAGGGGAAGGGACTCACCTGAAATGGTAGCTTTAGGATTAGAACCCCAGGGGGAGTCCCTCTAAGTCTCTGCCCTGGGTGTACTGCCCTTATGATCCTTGCTTGCTCCAGACAGCGATGTCCCCAGTGTATAGGCAGCTGCAAGTGCTGAGACCACCTTGCCCTGAGGATGGAGGTGAGCCTCTTATTTCCTGTTCTTTAGGGCACAACCCAAGAGTCCTGTGCTAGACTCTAAGACCCAAGCATTCACGAGTGACCAGGGAAGCGGGATCTCCTGGGAGCCCTGTCTCACTCTCGGACCACTTGGACGAAAAGCTGTGCATGGCAGGGACCCACAGAGTGCCTTCATTTGGCTCTGGGAACCATCAGGCATTCTCAATAGTCTCCTTGGCATGAGAGGTACAACTTTCCAGATTGGAGGAGTGAGAACTGCCTTACTGGATTGTGCCAGTCTGTAGGAGCGCCAGGCTGATGGGGCAAAGTTGGAAAGTCAAGGAACAGCACTCTAGCAAGCCAGCCTTGCACCCCCCCCCCCCATCACCCTCTGGCCATGCCAGAGTCACCAACAGGGTCACAGGTTTGAGGAGGGTGGTGGCGGGATAGAGGAGGAGAGGGTCTCCCAGAGGAAGAGGTAGCTTAAAGTTAAGGCCCCGCAGGTGCCAAGGTCTCTAGGGTCATGTATCCCCAGCCTCAGGTTACATGCATGCCTAGGGTCGTGAATCCCTGTCATTGTGACACGGAGGTTGGGGATATCCGGGGAATGGGGTTGGGAGGGTCCTCTGCCCTTCTAAAGTTGGAACGATGTGGCAGGACTCATCTGCCCAGGAGCTCACAGTCCGGGGATCCGGGTCTGCCCCATTATCAAGAGAGCCAGGCCGCCAAGGAGAGCCAAGTTGGGACACACACAGTCGGAGCTAGAGCACTGATCTGAGAGAGGGTATGTGGAACACACTGGGTCCGAGGCAGAGAACTCACCTGCCACCGCCGGAGCCCGCGCAGTTCCAGGGCTGTGAATCTCGCTGATCACCCTGTCTCCCGCGCCTCCTTCTCCCGGGGCTGTCAAGCGCGCAGATCCAGAGCTTCGCTCAGCTCAGCGGCAGGATGCTCCAGGCTTCGGCAGCGCCTCGGGGTAGGAGCTTCCTGAGCGAGCGCTCCCCGCCCCCTCCCGGCCCCTAGCTCCCGCCTCGCTCCGCCCTAGCCCAGCCAAGTTCAGGACTGGAGGCTGCCAGTGTCCCCACGCGCAACCCGGCTCACCCTAGCAGCAGCTGCCCCTGTCTTAGCCGCTGTGCTAAGTAGTCGCTCGCGCCCGCAGCTGCATCAATATGCAGGGACTGAGCAGTGAGCGCAGCGAGGGTCGTGAGGGGGGAATTTATTTCTTAATGTCCCTGCTTTATCCTATCACCGCTGAAACGAATTAGTGGTGACGTCCAACCGGCTGGTTTATGGGCGTGGGGAGGGAGACGTCGCAACCCTCATTAAAAGGGCCGCTCTGGGCTTGGAAGCATACATCTTTTATGTAACCTAATTTCCATTTTTTTCTATCAGAAAAAAAAATACACACAATGACAATTTTGGGGAGCCCGAAGGGGGCTGGATAGTGACCACAGCGAGGAGGCAGGCTGTTTTGGGCAGGGAAGGACCTAGCTGAGGCAGGTGGTTGTCTCTGTCCTAGTGGTGAAACATTCCTTAATGGGATAGGTAGAGCATAGCCCCTCCGGGCAGGGCAAGAAGCCCCTCGCAGAGCGAGCAGAAGACCGCCTGGGTTCTGGCTCTGGTTCTTGGGTGCGCAGACGTTCTGGAAAGGATGCCCGGTTCTGGTGTTTTTCAGGGCAGAGTGTAGGTATCGCATCTGGGGGAGAGGGGGGTGGAAAACCCCCGGGGGTCTTATTCTCCTACGGCCTGGAGACAACAATGCCAGGAGAGGCCAAGGGCTGGGCTGGGGGAGGGGTGGGCTCAGAGAGCTCTTCCCTTCCTTTCTTAGGGGCTCTAACATATGGGTAACCATATAAACCCGTCTCTAAAGCTGTCTTTCCCTGGGCAGATTGCAAGGCGGTTTTGCATTTAACTGTCGCTGCTGCTCACACACTCTTGAGGGAAGGAGTGTGCGTGCGTGCGTGCGTGTGTGTGTGTGTGTGTGTGTGTGTGTGTGTGTAGAGGGGGCTGCACTCAAGGAAGGAGAGGAGGATTCAGACCCAAATACGCCTAGACACCTGGCTACTAGCTTGATCTCCATTTAGTCTCAGCGAATACGCTGCACACTTGGAGTATAATCGCTCTGAGACCAGAGCCAGCTACCCCTTCTTGTTGCTCACACATGGTCTTCAGATATTGTTACATGTCAAGCCTGAGGAAAGGGGCTATGACCTGGAGGGGTGCAGGAAGAGGAGGGGAGAGAAGCACAAGAAAAAGCTGTGGGGTGTGAAGAGTGTGTGTCGAGGGAAGGCCTGAGAAATTCCCCCGGCCTGCCAGGGCTCCTGCCACTTCCTGACTGGGTGTGCCAGTTCCGAAGTCTGCTTCCTGAGCCTCTGACATGGGTCTTGGGCTGTGGTGAGGCTGGTATAGTCAAACGATGGCGGCAAAGCCCTTAGTTTAGCATCTGGCATATAGTACCTGCTCTGAAAAGACCAGCCGTTAATAGTGTTACTGACCAGAAGGATTGACTATATGTCAACGGGTAAAGGAGGGTCCCAGAAGCGGAGGTTGGAGTGAGTCCTTGCAGCCTGGGCTCAGTTCATCCTGGGCTCAGCTTCCTTCTCATCCTTTTCAAAGTTGAGTACTGGGCTTCCATGGTGTTGGGTCTCAACACTGCTCCCTCAATTACCATGGCAACTGGGGAAAATCAGGAAGCCAGGAAGGGAGGCTGCCTCTTCACTGGGCTGGCAGTTCACCTGCTCCAGAGACTCGCGCCAGCTTGCTGTGTATGGGAGTTGGGGCCAGCAGAGGTCCAGAGGGGTGGTCAGTAGGGAAGGCAGAGCTGTGGCATGTGGGGTCAGGGCTAAGGCTGGCTGTGCCTGAAGAAACAGAGTTGGCCCCCTGGGGGAGGAGGCAGAAACCCACGACCCCCCAATCCTGTCACTGTTGCTAGGTGTCCTGGTGCAAGTGATGGTGAGTCAGGACCAAGAGGTTCTGGAGACCCCGCTGCAACGACAGAGCCAGGAGTCCAGCGGAGGAGCTTACCACCATGAGGACGTGGGTATCATTTCCTATTTTGCTGGTTTTGAACTAAGCCCTTTACAGACACACGGCTCATGGAATTATCATCAAAATGACAAGAAGTGGCTTCCTTTCCTTGTTTGTGCCTGACAGAGGGGGCATTCGATGCTCTGAAGACAGAGCCTCTCCAAGCAGTGGATGAGAAAGTAAATACAAGAACCCAGATCTAGGCTGGGGCGGGGGGTGGGGTGGGCATGGCTCAGAGGTAGTGCTCCTTCTGATTGTGCACGAGAGCCTGGGTTCCACCCCCAGGACCCCAAAGTGCTTGGCGTCTGGTAGAGAAAGGGGGAGAGGAAGTCAGTCACTGTGCTGGGATCTTAGTGTTGGGGGGGGGGAGTGACTCTCGGCCCTGGGAGCCTCCTGGCTAATGTTGGGCAGAACTAACATTACCAAGAAGTGCAGGAAAACAAACCAGAGGATCTTGCCACCAGCTAGGTGGCTCTGAGCAAGGTGATAGTGACAGTCCCCCAAATGCTCCTTGGATGTGGTGACCTAGAGGGTGCTATGGCTTGGTTCTACCAGAAGCAGCCTTGGGCGTTTAGGGGTAGATGTCAAAGATGTCGCCTTTCTCCGGCTGGGAGGGGCTGAGTCGGCTGACACACAGCCAGACATCCAGACATCTGCTCCCGGCGTGGGGTCTCACTCCAAACCCCTGCACGGACAGTGGGTGGATAAAGTGTTTATATCCACCCCCGTCAGTATCGCCCATGGTCCTCTGCTAAGAGCTGGCCCAGGCGAGCGGAGGGAAGAGGGACTTGGTTTGCTTACTCTATGTGGCTGCCACCGAGGGCTAATACATTACCCAGGGCTAATGAAAACACAATTATCTTCTTTTGGCTGCAGAGAGGGGCTAATTTAATAGGCTGCGATCGAAAGGCATCTGTTGAATTCACCCATCAGTGAAAACACTTGAAGGACCCTGGAGGGGAGAGGAGAGCGCCGCTGGCTGGCTTGCAGCTGTGTCCAGGCTGTGCGGTGCCTACAGCTCAGATAGCAGCAGCCGCCGAAGGCCCACGGCAACCCCAAGGTGTCTGTCTGTCCAAGCACAGACCTGGGGGCTCCATTCCTGCTGCGAGTTCTGGGATTTTCCTTTGGCACTTGCAACCTCAGTTTTCTCACCCATACAATGGGATTTAATTATTCCTCTTTCACTGCAACTTAAGGAACTTAACTTAGGTGAGGTGGTGGGAGAGGAGAGGGTCCCAGCATAGTCTATGTGTTTAATAAAATGATCACTTCTCTTCCCTGACTGCACAGGCTGTACCGAGATGTAGTCTGCATAAACACTCCCTCTTTGGAGAAGCCGCTGCTCTAAGCTACCCTCCCCCCCCACTCCTAATACACTGTACATTCAGGAATATTTACAAATTCAGTGTTAGACTGGAAAGACGCTCACAAGGGTGGACGCTCGCAGCCACTACCACTTGCTACTCCAAGTCAGTGGTTCTCAAAGATTGCTGCTAGACAACTAGGTCACCATCCCCTGGGAACTGCTTGACCATGCCCACCCCACACCCATTGGAGCAGACACTCAGGGCTGTGTTTAAGACAGACTCGTTGCGGGTTTATGAGAATCCCAGTGCCAACCAAAAGCCAAACTCACACTTGTTTGAATATGTGAATGAAGGGACAACCGTTCATTTAGCCAGGGTTTGTGTGTTCAACGGCAACTCCCTTATTAGACACCAGCTGTATACACAGTCCCATGTAATGAAGTTCTTGAATTCTTTCGGCCTCTAACCTACGCCCACATTCCCTCACACCTCAGTTCTGAGGAATGCCCCTGAGTTACAGGGGTGATGACAGCCTCAGGGCTGTCCCTCCGTTGCCATGGCAATCAGAGCCTCTCTGTGCCCGAATCAACCCTGCTCCTCTCTCTGGGTGAGAGATACTGGTTTCAGCCACAAAGTTAGCTGGCGTCTGAGCTCAGCCCTGGGTGTTTGCCTGGGAGTTGTCGCTCCCATGCACATTCTATGAGACCCCATGCCCATCAGTCCCTCTTGCAGCTGGAGAAAGGAGGGGCCTCGGAAATGCTGTCTGGCAGAGTGGCCCAAACCAGAAAGTTCCAGAGCCATCTAGGAGCAGCAGCCCGTGGATGGCTGATTGGTTTTTCCCTCCAGCTCAGGGGTCATAAGAGGGGAAGCATTTCATCTAAAGCAGCCTTGGAGCCAGCAGGCTGGCAGGCCAGACAGGACCCAGTATTGAGAACATGGTTATCTGAGAGGCTAGTGTCCCTAGGGAAGGAGGGAGTGCCACGGTCCCTGCAGATGTTACCCCAGACACCGGAAATAATTTGTGAGACTCTGGCCGAGATCGGAGAGGAACCATTTAGAGGAGCAATCTGGCCATAAGGAATAGCATGACCTGACTGTTGCTCCAGGGCCGTGTGAGCCAGAGTAAAGTAGCCGGGAGTCTCTGGGCCCCAAAGGAGAATTTAATGTGAAGGTGGATAGCCCCATGAGTTATATGCAAAATCCAGTATACAAAGGTTTCTCAGTGTCCAAAGCCCCTTTAAAGGGCCCCCAGACTAGGGGTCCCTGATGGCAGTTGGATTTACCAAGCTAGCTCAGCAGAGAGGCAGTTCCCTAAATGATCGACAGATGGCGCTAAGCCTTCACGGTAGCCAACTTGCTTTTTGAGACCTACCTGGATGATAGGATGGTTTCTTAGAGTCAACTTTTGGGACCTCGGGTCTGGGTCCTGGACAAGCTGAACTGATTTAGGTGGCATGCAACTGCTGGTCCTGTTAATATCTTATAGTTAGTCCAAGCCTTGTTTTGTAACCTCCTGTTCTTTCTCAGGCCCCCTCAGTGTGGACAGCTCCGGTGGAGTTTGCAGTTTGGAGGGTGCAGCCAGGGCTTAAAGTGGGCTGAG